CGATCACTTTTTCAAAAGCAAGGTTTTTTTTGTTTTTTTTAAACAAGAAAGCAGTTTAGACATGGTTCTTTTGGGAAAAAAGTCCTTTTTTGAAAGTACCCTTCTTCCTTAAAAAAGGAGGTGTACAGGATTCTTTTGAAAAAGGGGTTTGTTTTTTTAAAGAACTGCATGTAAACTGCTTTCTTTTTCGAAAAAAACTGCTTTAGAAAAAGCTATCAGAAGAAGATATGCAAATTAGTGGCATTTTTGCATATCTCCTTTCGAAAGAAGAACATCATCTAGATGTACCCTTAGATTGACTGTGGTGATTTGCGTGCCTTTGTCCTAGAAACCAGGTAAGTTCATGACATAGCGTGTACTGCATTAATTTTCAGTTTTAGTATGTTAAGTAGCAACAACTGAATTCCTGCTTTATCACATATTAGTAAATAGATGCTTTTGTGTCATGGTGTAAAACAGACAAAACAATAGCTATTTATTCTTGAAGCCTTGGGAAATATTACAAATGTTTCCGTTTTTCCACCACTTTATTAGAAAAGACTGGCTTTGGGCATATTCACTCAAGGTTCTCTGAACAGTATCTGATATGTCTTTATATATACAAAGTTAACCTTCCTTAGCCCTGTTTTTGCTTGATGTAATTGCTTTCTGTAACCAGATGTCCCAAAACATTGCAGAAGGAGGGTGGGAGGTGGAGGTGACTTTGTTGCTTTCTTTAATTATAATGGGAAAAGTAGAGTTTCAGTCTGTGCAGTTTAAAGAAATAAGGTAAAAATCTGCTGTGTTGCAATAGTGTCAGTAGGGGGGTGTACCAAAGTAAAGGTACACAATATGGACCAGCATGTCCAGAGAGTCTAATACTTACAATGTTATTTTACTCCACCCCGGGGCATTCTATCTTGCAATTCCAAATCACTATCTGTATCACAAGAAAAGCCATTTTAATAATAGTAACTTCAAATGCCTATATTATTTTTGGGAAACTGTATGTTCTATACAATTCAGGAGGTCAGACCAGATGATCACAATAGTCCCTTCTGGCCTTAGAATCTAAGAATCTACTAATTGGGTTAGGTTTAATTTAGTAGGGCTTTTTACTTTGTCACCAAGTTTGAATACCCTTTCCCCCTCCCCCTCACTCATGTTTACTAAATAGGTTTCTGAAAATGATTATTTTGTGATAGAAAGCAGCAACAACAAAACTGTTGTGTTGCTACCACCCGCTGAACTCATGTCCTTTTTGGCTCCTAACTCTGTGGCAGTATAGCTATATTCCCCCAGTGATATGGCCAACTTTTTTAATACTTGCATGCTCAAAACTGCTTCAAGAATTCAGAATTCTTTCCTGCAGGAACTAGAGCTTCCTTTCACTGCTCTATTCAGTGTTCTTTTCTCTACTCTGCCTTCATAAGTAAAAGCAAAGCATCCCATTTTAAAAGACTTAGCTTAATGCATCTCTGCAGCATACTCAGATACCACCATTATCGGTATGTTCCTAGAACCTAAACAGAATATGATTAGTTAAATTGGATTCTTAAATATAGCCATCGTGCAATTCCCAAGAAAATAAATTGGCAGTCAAAGAGAATGGCCAATCACTTCAGCATGTGACTAAGGGCAGGATTTGTGATTTAGTCACATTGACCTAATAGCTTGCTATTTTTGGCATAAAACCCTATTATTTTCAGTCCTCTTGATTTCAAAAGGGCAAGTTCTAGGATTAATAATCCTACAACATTTCACTCCCACTCATAATATAGGAAACCTTTTGTGGGGGGCTAAATATTCATTTGTACCATCTTAGTAGTACATTTAAAATATATATTTTCTTTTTGCATTCCTCCAACAAAAAATAATAGCGGACACACTTATGTCTCCACCCAATAAATGCCTGCATCCAAGTTCTTAAAATTCAACCATTCAGAGTTTGTGAGAATTCCATTGCAAGAGCAACATATTCACTTTAATTGTATAAAGATAAAGAGAGCCACTTTTTAGAGTATTAGAAACAAAATGTGTTTATTAGAGCTATGCTTTTAAGTAGTAGTGATCCAAAGCCCTAAAGTTCGTGATATTGTTGGTGCAGTGGTTTGGCTCACTACTTCAGAGTATTATAGAATTTGTGTCTAGTAATTGTACGTGTTCTTCACTGATAACCTGCAAAGCTCACGAGAGTTACCATCTAACTTGAAACGTGCCAAAGAAGCTTGAAACTTGAATACACTATAGCAAAGCATTTTGCTACTGCAGATCGAATAGTTTTTGGGTTTTTTTAGCTTGTAAAATTTATGTTGAACTGCTATGCAAAGTGTAATGAAATCTTAAGAGAAATTTTATAATTAAGCCACCAGTATCCAGATTCCAGAAGGGCTTCCCTTCAAATCATCATTTTGGGGGTACTATGTCTTAGCTGACCATAATCATTTTCTTTGTGCTTCATTTAATTTTATAATCAAATCTTGTTTTTGACAGATTACCATGTCATTGAGACCCAGACTCATCTGAAAGTTTTGAAGGCAGAAGCAAAGTCTATCCATACAGACATACACAGTAAACATATGCCTGAAGGAACCGCCAGGAACGTTCCCAGAAATGGTAAAGAACCAAAGCTAGATCTTCAGCAGGTATAAATTGGTTTAGCTCCACTTAAGTCCAGGTAGCTAAACCAATTTACATCATTATGGTGTCTGTCCTTCACTGTTTACATCCTTTCCCACATTTTGTGAAGTCTTTTGTTGTATTACATCAGTCCAGTTTGATTAAAATAACTCTGCTTCTCACAACAGGCCATGCTGGAGACGCTGGATTCTTACACAGAGTCAAGTCCCACAGATTGTTATCTTTGAACCACATACTTATTTTCTACGCAGTTCTGTAAGTGAACAATTCCTTACCAAGACCATCAGATTCTCCCCTGCCTTTATTACACCAGTCTCATGACATTGCTGATTTCAGTGGTGTTGCACCGAAGTAAAACTAGAAACATATTTTAAAAGGGTTTCTTCATTCCTCTTTGTTGGTGTACCAGGAATATAATTTTATAGTAAAAAATTTTTCTGCTGTATAATAACCAGCAGAAAAACACTTTTTCTTGTGAACTTTCTAACTGGGTCAAAAAAGGGCTCTAGAGTAGGGGTGGAGTTTATGCCCAGTAGAACCCTCTATGGCCATGGTGTCCAACCAGTTCCTAGCCATACTCAACCGGCCAAATAGCTACATGTGGCTAGTGGCTATCATATTGGACATCTCGGCTCTAAGGTGATTGTGACTGCTAAGTTTAATAACACTACTTGGATGTCCATTCCAGATAACACTTGGCATGGCTGTAGACACTAAGAATGAGATTTTCAAAGCTGCCTGAAACATGCAGGCCCCAGATAAATTGGAAATGCCACGTATTAAGGTGGCTTGAAAATGCCACCCTAAGAATTTTGCAGTGTACAAATAATAACTTTATTCATTGATTTTTAAATACTGCCAAATTCTTTTGGATACATCTATATGAGGATAGTATGTCCCAACTAGCACAGTTGTTCTAGGACTTATTTTTCTTTTTCCCCTGCAGTGTCTGTGTCCTTGTCGTTTCTACCCTCTACATGAGATATAAAATCAATGTTCTGGAGGAACGGCTAATCTCCATGGCTTCCTTTGTTGACTCCCATATTAATGAGTAAGAAGGCAACATTTATAAAGGATAATATGCAGTTTAGGCTATACAGTTCTCCTCTGTTTTAGGCATTAAGCTCTGCTGGGAACCTGTCTTCAAAACTTCATGATAATTGACAAGCAATTTAGGCTATGCAGTTCTCAAACTTTCTCTGTTTCTCAGGAGCATTGGGATAAAAGTACTTTAGAGACAATTCGGGTATAACCTGAATTTAAGCAAATTTCAGTTAATTGGAAGTAAAGTTTACATAGGATATTATGGTACAATCTAGAGTAATACTGTACCCTCCCTTCAAAGATGCATAATTGAATTCCGCAGAACACTGACACTGGCTATTCTGAAGTGGAAATGTTTATTTCCAGGAAATGTTTATTTGCATGTACGTTGTGGGGAAGAGGGTTCCGGAAGGTTTGGGCTATCTTTACCTTCAGCTATCTGGCTAGTTTTAGACCCTTTAAAACTTGCATGTATGTTGTGGGGAAGAGGGTTCCGGAAGGTTTGGGCTATCTTTACCTTCAAGAAACACCCATCCTACTGATCTAAAACCCTGATTTTCTGCAGCACAAAGGAAAGGAAAAAAATTACTCCCTCAATCTGAGCTACTCTGGCCATGGGCAACATAAATTAGAGCAGCCAAAGCCTTCTGAGGGCCACTTATAGACCATTACACAATTCAGAGAAGGCTGGAACTCCCATAGTTCTGGACCGTATAGGCTTGCCCTCACCACTGGAAATGACCACCACTTATGTCTGCTATGAGGTGTGCGTCCACTAGGGGAATTTTCCCATGATCCTTGTGGCCCAGTTAACCTCTCTCTTTGTTGCAGCAGCCTGCAGAGCTAGTTCAGGGGAAAGATTTGTCCCCAGTAGGGGTTTTCTTGCTTAGACTTAGGCCTGATCTACACAAGAAGGGGTTTGCTGGTGTAGCTATATTGGTATAATTATATTAGCACCTAGTAATAATTATATATTACTAGGCACATAGATTATTATAGACTAACCAATTAGCCCATCATAAAACGGGATTTTCAGGTCTCTCCTCCATGTCGGTCTTCTCTTTTGAGCCTCCAGTCTCTCGCTCTGTCTCTCTCTCTCTCTCTCCTCCTCCTCCTACTCCTAGTGCTTCCTCATCTCTCTCTCTCTCAGCTCTCCTCTGCCTTCTGCCTCTCTCTCTTCTCCTCCCCCTCCTGCCTCTCACTCGGGGGACCATCGAGCCCAAATGGCCATTTGGGCTCCGCACTCCACATGCTACATGGTGAACACGGAGCCCAAATGGTCACTTGTGCCACTTGCTACCACACGGTGGCCCAGCTGACTGGCGCAGAAGTCAGCCGAGCGCTACTGCAGGAGGTGAAGGGGGGTGGAGCAGTGACGTTCACAGCCAAGGGGCAGGGCCTGGAGCCGCTGTCACACTGCACATCACCGCCCCGCCCCCTTCGCCTCCCGTCGTGGTGTTCGGCTGATTTTTGCGCCGCTCAGCTGGGCCACCGCAGGGGAGCAAGCAGTGCAAGCGGCTGTTTGGGCCCCACACTCCCCATGCAGCACAGGCTGCCCAGAGGGAACAGCCAGAGCAGCGCAGAAGTCAGCCAAGCACCAAGGTGGGAGATGAAAGACGTGACTCAGGCAACAGCACCGCCCAGAGGGAACAGCCAGCATTTCAGTGTTACAGACTCAGACATTGGGCTACTATATATATATGATGAGAGGGTTTTTTGCAGATATCAGACACCAGTTTTCCAACTAAAATAAGCTATATCAGTTCAAGGACTTTTTGTTGTCATAACTGCATTGACACTAAGACTATGTCAGTATAGTTATGTTGCTAGGAGACTTCACTCTCCCAGCAAAACTTTTAAGCACAGACCTAGCTTTAAACTACTAAGTATATTAATGGGGCAAAGGGAAAGTAGATAGGAAAATACAAGTAATTTTGTTAGTGGATTAGGTTATTGATATTTACATTAACTCATGAATATTTATGTTTACTTACTAGTAAACATATGAATATGTCTACATTGAACTAAAAACACAAGAGGTCAGATCTAAGTACTTATTTCTAGTGCAGCCAATTGGTATTCAGGTAGTATTCAATACTTGAGCTGTTTGCAAGAGATCATGTTTATTCTGTCTGCTTCCAGTTGGGTATGCTGAACAAGAGTTCAAGAGTGCCCCATCGAGCCTCTGGCTGGTTAATCTCGGCCATTAGCAGCACAGTCCCAAATACCACGCCAGTAAACTCACATCTGGAGTTTCAGGTGACTTTTAAATAGATTCCCAGACCCCAAAACAATGGCCTCAGTTAATGGAAAAGGCAATACAAAATTGAGTAGTATGTGGAGAATGTGGTTAACTCTTTGCCCCCTTCAAATGAATATTCTTCATCCTTGGAAAAAGGCAGTGAGATACATAGCAGTATATTTATAAGCAACTCATTGACCATCCTAAGGTACCTAAGCAAACACAGGACCTGCTCCTCATTACCCCATCAAGTCCCCCTCCAGTCCTCATTTGTTAGCACCTCCTGTGGGTGTTTTTAAAGAAAAAACATTTATCTGCTCAGATAGAACAATGCCTAGTCACTGCACCAAAACCATTGCTACTTGTATTCATAGGTGGATATAATGGGGGAAAGTGACCAGATTATTTAGGGTTACATTCAGCTACATTCTCTCCATGTGTGACTACATATCTTACTAATCTAGCATTCAAAAATAGTTTATCTAATTGTAAAACAAAATGCAAACCTGCAGCAGCAGGTGCTATACCCGGAAATGTTGACATAGTCATCCAGCTGGAGAAGCACCACCTGAAAAACAAGCAGCCAAAGAAAGCAACACAAAGCAAAACCTAACACAAGGCGGAGTCCTAACCAGAATGGGTGGGCCTGTCTGCAGAGTATTGAAAGGAACCAATCTCTTGGACTGAGCTGTGTTAGACTTCTAACTCCATCTTCCCGCAGGAATCATCCATGACAGCCCAGTTCCCCGACAAAGCACTCTAAGTCACTTAGAAAAACTATTGCACCATTTAGAGTCCAATTCTGCTCTCAGCTTGTACTGACCGTAAAGACAGTATGTATCTATCAGAGAGCAGAATTATGCTCTAGATTATTCATTTAAAGGAGTAGGAAGAGAATGATGCCTCATCCTTAACTGGAATGTCTGAAAAGCTGTTCAGACACTGATTTTTTCCTCCCTTATTTAGAGTTGTGTGAGACTGTTCTCGCATTATCAAACGACTTTGATAATGGAGGGAGGGTCATTCCAATGTGGGCAAACTTTTAAAGAAGAGAGACTGATTCTAATGAGCACTTTCTACACTTTTCTTTTTAATTTGTTTTGATCCATGTCATAAAAAGCAAGCATACTTTTACTAATAAAATACTTAAGAATTTCCATCTTGGTTCTGTAAAATTAGTCAAATGCAGTTTGAGGGCACAAAAGATATTATAGAAATACTGTGCTAAATAATTATCATACTAGCAATGTTCCCATTCAAATCATTCATTGCTCACTATGCAAAATTTCTAATGTCCTCATCTTTCCTTTTCTCCTTCACATCTCATTCTTTTATTTAACAGACAGCCTGTGCAACGAGGTCTGGGATCCCATCTGCAAATTAATGCTGAAGCCTTCTGTGATGAACTAACAGCTAACCTCATAAAACTGGAAAAGGTAATTTACTGAGATGAATAATATTAGGCAACACTTAAATGCCCAGAGCTCAGGATACATGATGAGCACAACAGGTGCTCGTCAAATCACTGACATTTGTCTTTGCCGGAAGCACTACACCCTCCCAGATTTGCTTGTGTAGATCTTAGAGCAGCACCTCTGGAAGAATGTGAACCACCTTCCTGAGGTGAGACAATTTTTGGACAATGGCATAAATTGACTGTTAAGCCCAAGCACATGTGTCAGCATATGTGAGTGTTTCCTTATGAGATCTCAAGGAATCAATTGCAATTTAATTACACTCAACCTCCAGTGATTTATTCTGCTGAAGATCAGTTAATGACCTTCTTCCTTGGCTAATTAGGCAATAGACTCTTGATTTTTACCTTTCTTAGTTGATGTGTTTATTCAGTCTGTTTTGCCCAAACAATAAAAGCTGCTGGAATTCTAGTGTCCCCCTATAAACTGAGTGTTTAACAACAGCCTATTACTGCTTAGTAACACAAGTGTGCCAGCCATTTGCTCCCTGCAGATAACCTCTTCTTTTTTCCATTTGCTACTTGCAGAACTAAATATATTTGCTAACCCCAGCTGGAAAATCAAACACAAACAAGACTAGGCAGGAAGTTATATTTTCACTCTGGTACATTTACATTTCAAGTTCAGTAAACTCATAATTAAAACTAAGGTGTTTTCATTTTTTTCCAGTGACCGTGCATATGAGTTGTATTTCTATGGTTATAATCCTTTATTTGAATTCCTACATGCTACAATCACATGAGCTTTTGTTTCTAAAATGTTGATAGCTAGCCAAGATCTTCAATACTGTTTGTTTTTCCAGAGCAAACTCTTCAGGTTGCATGTCACTGAGATGATTTAACATCACTGCTAGCTATATGTCAAAGGTTTCAGAACAACTTTGTTACCAAGGGAAAGGGTTTGATTCACTCCTCAGTGTAAATCTGGAGTAATTCCATTTATTTCAGTGTCAGTGTTTTCTAGGTTAAAAGTAGCAAGTGAGAGGAGACTGTATGGTAAGATATATTCAGAGACCACCCCTGCAATCTCGATTCAAGTGTACAGGCCTCAGAGACCACTCCTGCAATCTCGATTCAAGTGTACAGGCCCAATCATTTCAATGGGATGTCTCAGGGAAAGACTAATGCTTCAGTTCAGCAAGTACATGAGCATGTTCTAAAGTCTCATTGATTTCTGTGGGACTTGAACCTATGCTTAAAGTTAAATGCTTTGGTCAAGTGGGGTCTAAAGAATTGAACCTCTAAAGAGACCTTAACTCTGCTTGTTTGTTTTTCACAGTTGGATTGCTGCCAACTTACAATACAATGGTCCTAGTGTCCCCTGCACCTAGGTTGTTGCAAACCAACACACCTTTCTTAAAACTCAGGCACTGGCTCTCTTCAGTAAAGAGTTGCTAAACCTTAGCAAGTTTCTAAGCTAAACACTATGAAATAATTAGCTAAGTGTAGTGTGACTTTTTTCTCTTACATTTTTTTAAATGATGACAGTTATTAGTCCTGGTACCGGTCCTTAGTACAGTATGTGCTTTCCTCTCCTCAACACATCTTTCCCATAGGCTTGCAAAAGTCTGGCCTTAGACATACTCTCAAAAAACCTGTTCAGAATTAGATCCTGTTGCAGTGACCAAAATGCTTTGAATTTCCTACTTTGAAAAACCCAAAGGCTTTTGATAAAAGTTGTAGCTGTTTTCTTGAGATTTTGGTCTTCTGTAAAGTTGCTCACCATTTTTCAATTACCCAAAAAAGATCAATTATGGAAAAAGTTAATTAAATTAATTACTGAGTTTTTTTTCCACCTCTGTTGTCATGGAGTAGTCCTGCTCCCTCACTAGCTCAAACTTAGTGGAAGTGTATGAAAGCTATGGAATTTACAAAAAAGTGCTCCTAAATCTCATTACCTCAGTCCCAGCTTTCCAACTGGGCTTGTACCTGGCAGATAAAAATGGATGTTGGAATAGTAACTATTTTATATGCAAAGTATAAATAGCAGTGCCAGAATTAACTGGGTCACCCAAACTTGCACTAACGAATGCTTTCTAATTGTGTGAATAGCCATTAAATTTATCTGAATCTTCTGTTCTTTTTTTTTAAGATACAAAACAACTTACAAAGACTACTTGAAGATGGTGATTGAAACCTTGATGTTCTGGGCTACTTTGAACCTCATTCTCCTGCTTCTGATAAGCAGCATCAGTGAACTCTGCGGGCTGGAGTTCACATTCCTTTTTCTTTTCTTTTTTTTTAATCTAACCCCACAATTAGACTGTGGCAGTAGCTTCTCCATCTCAAGACTCTGGAGAGTGGTTTATTCTTGTGCAATAATATATCTCTGTTTTCTGACAATCAGGGATTTCCATTGCTGGTCACATCAGTACAAACAATGTGTTTTTTTTTTTTTTTAAATAGTTTGGGGCCAAATTCTGTTCTTGGTTACTCCAGTGTAAATCTGGAATAACTCCCTTTATCTCAATATTTTTCATTCACGTGGCTGTAACAGAGCAGAATTTGGTCCTGGATGTACAGCTACAGAACCAGCATGTGCAAATGCTTGTTGTCTTTTAAAGGGAGTCACCTATCCCACTATTATTACTGTAGTTATGAATAAACACTCCATTTTTATTTTTCTTCTGTTCTGCCTCAGTTCCCCAACATCTACCCAGTTGTGTCACACCTTAATGACCAGTCTCTCCAAGGCTGATTCTGTGGGGTGCTAAGTGTGCTCTGCTCCTTATATGCCGGACTCTAAGCTGGTTTAAATCCACCTATCTTCATTCATTTAGCTGGTATTAATCTGGTATAGCTCCAGTTGACAGTCTAGCGAAGTCAGTGTGTGCCATAGGTGACAAGATCAAGCCCTGTGCAATCACTCACAATTTTTATAGCATACATATCCCACATGCTATGAAGTGTAGCTTCTGCAAACTATTTATGAGGATAGCAGCACAGTGAGCCACCTAAGCACTGTTTAAAATATCCCATATATTTTAAATCTATCATTGTAACACTGTTTGCTCATGATGCCCTTCAGTGCTAAGTCCCTTTTCAAAGGGTCACATGGGGTCTTAGCTGTGCAGTTCTCTTTCCAGTTACCGGGAGTCCTATAGTTATTTTGGTCATGGAAGATCCCACAGAGTCTTTCATCCTGACACAATGGGAACTGGCAATTTAATGAAAATACAATGATAGAAGCCATTCTATTGGAGTGAATAGAAGAAAAATAGGTGTGTCTCTTGTTACATTGTCCTGTTTGTTTTCCCAGAGCCTTAAATGATGAAGTAACTGGTGATTTTAACTCGTTGGTTTACCAAGTGGATTGGTTTTCATGAGGGTAGCATAAGATAGAACCTCTAAGTTAACAGATATTTATACATGCATTTTATAATCATTTCTGTGAAATGTATCTTATTTTGTTTAATAAAAAGTTAATTGATTTTAAAAGCTTACCATTCACTTGTACCTGCCCATTTACACACATGGCAGTTTGCTTATAGTATAAAACTAAGCTGATACAAGTTCTTTGCAATCAGAAATGTTGCTCTTACTGTGACTTTGTTTTGTGCCTCCAGAAACAGTTTTCAGATCTTCTTCCAATCCAATACATCAAATTATACAGTGCAGCTAGGGCCTGATGAAAAGCCCAAGAAGACAAAAGGGCCTCAAATTTTGACAGTTTTCTACCAAGTCATTTCCATTTATTATATACCTTGCACTTAGAGACAACAGAAGCTATATATACAGCTGCAAAAAATTGATTTAAATCATTGTGGGACCTTGGGCCTTCGCCAATTTTTCAGTCACATCCAAGTTTTCATCTGTGTGACTGGAGATGGAGTAGCTTCTGTGATTAGTGATTCTACGTTATAAAACACTGTTTACAGTCCGCTTCCTTCTTGCTCCTTTTCTGAGACCCCGCCCCTCTCCATCCCTTCTCCAAGGCCTCACCCTGCTCACTCCATCCCCCTTCCTCCCTGAACCTCATTCACTTTCACCAGACTGAGGTTGGGGGATGGGAACAAAGGGTTTAGAGCTTTGGACTTAGCCCAGGGCGAGGGATTGAGAGTCTAAGAGGAGCTTTAGGGTGCAAGCTCTAGGAAGGAGTTTGGGTGCAAGGTAACACACATTTGGGGCAGGAGGTTGGGATCAGGAGGGAGTTCAGGACTGGGACAGAGATTCAGGATGCAGGCTCTAGCTGGGCACCACTTAACTGAGACAGCTTCCAGGTGGTGGAGCAGTGGGGATAAGGCAGGCTTACACCTGCCCTGGCCCTGTACCTCTCCTGAAAGCAGCTGGCCTGTACAGCAATTGCTCCAAGGTGCTATGTGTTGCCCCTCATCTACAGGTACTAAGCTCATTGCTTCTACTGAACACGGTTCCCCATTACTGATCAACGGGAGCGGCAGGAGTGGTGTCTGCAGGCAAAGACAGCATGTGGAGACACCCTGTTCTTTCCTTCTCAGGGGCTGTACAGACATGCCAGCCGTGTCCAGGAGCAGCAATTACCACAGGGATAATTACTTCAGCCATGACAGGTTAGGCATTTTAGAACTCACTCCTCAAAGAATTAAATTTAAGTGTAAGAGCGAAATGAAAATTATGAAATGCACAGACCAGTCAAAAACGAAAAATAAAATACTTTGCAAGCAGTAACAACATCCACAACCCACTTACGTGTTGGGTCACAAGATGAGAGTGAAGAACTATGTATGTCTGTCATTCTCACAAACACACACTATGTTTGAGAGTGACAGAGATTTGCATTGCCAAGCTCCCTACATCCTCTTCTCTCTGTGTGGAGATAGGGTACAGAAGTAAGGGGAGGGAGGGACATCCTGACATCAGCATCCCCCAACTTCTCTCTCCCACACGCTGAATAGCAAGCAGGAGGCTCCCGGGGGACAGCTCCAAGGCAGAGGGCAGGAGCAGCATGACACTGTGTGAAGAGGCAAGTGAAGTGCCAGTGCCTGATAGCTTCCTGGCCAAACCAATCAGGGTCACCTCTCAGAGGCTCCAAGATCTACTGGTAGTTCTCTGAATTCCCAAAGGAATCCAAAAAGGATCTAAGTGATGAAGGTGATTTAAATCATTGTGGGACCTCAGGCCTTTGCCAGTTTTTTGGTTGCATCCAAGTTTGACTGGAGTAGTTTCTGTGATTAGTGATTCTACATTATGAAACACTGTTTAAAGTCTTTGTATAATTTAGAGGTTTTGAAAATTTTAATTAATTCTGTTACTGTAAAGTGATTTTGTTTCCTCTGAGGGTGCGTTTAACCTTTAAATTAGATGTTATCTCTGCATAGGAGATTTTCGTATTCCTGTTTTTTCTTGTGTCTTTGTATGCAAAAACCATATCGGGCTCAGCTGTAAGCTACCTCTTCATCCAGTTTTAAATTCCCCTTTAAAGGCTTTTTTTGTGATGATAAACTTTTGTCTAATAAACTTTATATCTAATCGGGCAATCAGCCCATGTTTATATTCATAATAACACACCAGTTATTAAAATAATTTAATAATGGGAACATGTTAGCAGACAAAATTCTGTAGCAGTCCTCAAAAGCGAGAAATTCTGAAGCACCATGTGCTTGTGTCACTTCACAGCATGTCACCAACAAGATGGTCAGCACGAAGTGATGGCATTAAACCAGTTGCACAGCATTTGGACTCAGAGAGGCTTTCAGTGAGTCTGAATCTCTTACTCTCACAGCACAGGCTCAAACTGACCTTAAGTCAATTCAGCAGTATACATCTAAATCTGAATGCATTTTAATGTTGTCCACGTGGATGAAGCTGCTAAAAAGATCCACAACACTAATCTTGTAATTGAAGCACGTAATGCTACATTAGATGTTGAGAGGGACAACACTGAATGACTTTTTAAAGATATTCAAAAGATTTGTGATCAGTGGGACACAATCCTTCTGAGTCCAAATCAGTAGCACAGGGTACTGACATTTCATCTGAGTTTTCAACTAATCGCAACCTAATATCTCAATCTGATGCAGAAAGGCACTATTGAGTCATTGACTCCATCAAATCTGGTCCTCTACTTTGATTTGAGTCACTGCAACAAATTTGTACCCTTTTTGGATTCCTTTGGGAGTTCAGAAAGCTAAGTGATGAAAGTCTATATTCAGCGGCTGAACAGTTTCAGCAAAGATACAACAAAATTTCAAGAGTTCTGTGATGAGATAGTCTTCCTGAAATGTATATATTCCACCAACTTTAAATTGGACTACAAGCCAAAAGAACTGTTTCAAAAAATATTAAATCTAGGTGAATGCACATTTAACACGTTAAAACAAGTAAACAACTATCGTCATTCTGCAATGGGACAAGAACATTTGAATGGGCTCACAGTGCTTAACGTTACCAGTGATGTTGCATGGAAATTAGATTTTTCTTCAATTATAAATGTGTTTGCACACAACAAAGCCAAAAAAGCATTGCTAAAATGAAGAGTTTTTTGTTTGCAGTGGAAACTCACAATAAAAGTTACATTTTTAATAATCATGCTATTGGTATTATGACTTAAATGTTAATAAATAAATGTCTCAAGTGTTCATTTTAATATATTCCTTTGGTTTTACTATGATTCCATGGATGAGAAGTTAGATACATCAGGGGCCTGGAGCTGCGATCTCTACACTTAAAGGCTACACTGCAGGCTTCTTCTGCAAGAAGCTTTTTGCGGAAGATCTTTCACAAAAACTTCTTGCACAAACGCATGTCCACACTGCAAAAGCGCATCAGAAAAGTGATGTGCTTTTGCGCAAGAGACCGTCCAGACTGCATGGACGCGCTCTCACAAGAAAGCTCTGATTGCCATTAATGGAATAGCCACCAGAACACCTTTGCTTCTTTCGATGGTTTTTTGGAGCAAAAACAGCCTCTGTTTCCCATCCACACACACCTTTTTGCACAAGAGTTTGGGCAAAAAGGAGTTATTCCTTGTAGAAAGAGGAATACCTGTACTGCAAAACCCCCTCTGTTCTGTCGATTCACTAAGTTTTCTTGCACAAAAACATGCTTGAGGTGTGGACCCTCTGAGTTTTTGTGCAAAAACAGCTTTTTGCACAAAAACTGCAGTGTAGATGTAGCCAAAGTGGCCCAGGACTCTGTCATTCTCAGAGATGGCCTACATGGAAACATGTACAGTATTGGTGCTTAAGATTACTTCAAGCCTTTTATCCCATTTGGAGAACCCATTTCAGGTTGATTGGTTTTCCCACAAATACACCGCTTAGTGAAAAGAACACAAGGTTTGTCTCTCCAGCATGCTGGAAGTTAGAGTTCCATTCCTTAAGTGGACACTTCAAAGCCCATCCAAAATTCAGAGAGGCAGAAGTTCTACTGAAAGTACTACTTTCTTCTTGTGGCTATAAAGTTTCTGGGAGGGTCTTTGATATTTACTTAGATATATAAATATCACTAGTTGAGCAAACTAATAAACAAACCCCTTAAGAGAGATCCACACAACTTTTTTCATCTCACTTTCCCAAACAGGAGCCAAATTCTGCCCTCATTTATGAAGTTAGTGGCATTACATAAGTACAATGGAAGGCAGTAACTGAGTTCCAGGGAATTTAATGTATGAGATAGGCAAAAAACTTCCTTATTCAGAGACTGACTCAGCCCCTGTGACAAACTCAGATACCCTGGAGAGCTGTCCTAATGTGATTCC